TACACAATGTTGAAAACTAATGATGAAGTTTCAAAATACCTCGATACACGAGTGAACCTGGAGGGCAGTATACAGAACGAAATCAGTCAATCATATAAGCAAAAATCTTTTGAGACCACGCTTGCAAAAAGTCAGGAAGAAAAGACCAACCCACCACCAACAGATCCGAGCAGTAGTTTAGCTGAACGAGCCAAACTGGCTGCCTTGAGGCCTGTGCTCTTCAGAGAACAAGCTGCATGCGATCAAACTGATAGCCTCAACTCAAAAGATTACCATATGTACTCGTGTATAAGCTGAGTTTTTCAGCACATTTTTAATGCAGGCTTTGTGGTGAAATTAGGTGGATCGGCTTATACTCGAGTATATATGGTGGGTTGGAAAGTAGGGGACCTGAATTTATGTTGAGAAGAACAACTCAGGGAGAGAGGGTAAGAATGGCTGCACCACTTGAGGAATGTCAGCCATGTCATCTCTTTAAAGATCACAACCCTAGGGAGCCCAAACAACCCACCGTTGTCACCAGGGCTCCCTGGAAATACCATATGACCCGGCAATTTCTCACTCAGTATATATACCCCCAAAGAAATCAAGCACAAATAGGAACAGGTATATGCACATCCACGTTTATTGCAGAGCTATCTATACAAAAAGCAAAGAAGTGGAAACACCTAAAAAGCCCTATCTGTGGAGGAATGGTTAAGTAACCCCTCATATACATACAACGGAACATTGTGCCTATCTAAACACCAATCACCTGTCAAACATCTCAAGGAAATGGATTGGCTGAGTGACTGCAACAATGCATTCAAACATAGCCACGGTTGTGAGGATGTTACATGGCCCAGGAGCGTCTGGTTCTGTTGACAGTGTTGTTGTTGGGTCATCTCCAGCACATATCAACCCCAGGTACAGCTGCCAACCCTGGGCCAGCTTCACACTTCTTTTCTTTTTCTTTTTTGCCTGTGGCCAGAGCATGAGAGGCGGGGCTGATGAGGGGGACAAGGGGGTGTTTCTTTTCTTTTTTTTATTAAAAACTTTTAATAAACAATTTTATTGGGGCCTCTTACAGCTCTTATAACAATCCATGCATCAATTGTATCAAGCACATTTGTACATATGTTGCCATCATCCTTTTCAAAACATTGTCTTTAGACTTGAGCCCTTGGTATCAGCTCCTCTTTTTTCCCTCCCTCCTCCACCCTCCCACTTTCATGAACCCTTGATAGATTATAAGTTATTATTTTCATATTGTCTCCCTTTATCCACGTTTCTGCTCTTTGTCCCCCTCCAGTGTGTGTGTGTGTGTGTGTGGGGGGGGTGTTATACATCTAACATTGCGACTGGTTCTGATTTCTCCCCTTCTCCACTCACCTTCACCCTACCCTCATGGTATTGCTACTCTCATTCTTGTTCCTGAGGGGTTTATCTGTCCCGCATTTCAGAGCTTTTCTTATCTGTACCAGTGTACATGCTCCGGTCTAGCTGGATTTGTAAGGTAAAACTGGGGTCATGATAGTGTCAGGATGGAAGGGAACATTAAAGAATTAGCAGAATGTGTGTTTGATTGGTGCTATACTGCACCCTGGCTGGCTCGTCCCTTCCTTTGACTCTTCTGTGAGGGAATGTCCAATTGTCTACAGATTGGCTTTGGGTCTCTACTCCCCGACACCCCTTGTTCGCATCAATATGATTTTTTGTTTTGGGTCTTCTGATGTCTGATACCTGATCCCATCAACACCTCGTGATCACACCAGCTGGTGTATTTCTTCCCTGTGTGCTTTGTTGCTTCCCTGTTAGATGACTGCTTGTTTGTTCTCAAGCCTTTAAGACCCCAGATGCTATATCTTGTAATAGCTGGGCACCATCAGCTTTCTTCACTACATTTGCTTATTCACACATTTTGACTGTAGTGATCATGTTGGGAAGGTGAACATCACAGAATGTCCGGTTATTAGAACGTGTTCTTGTGTTGAGGAAGGACTCGAGTAGAGACCCAATGTCTGTCTGCTACCTTGGTACCTAACATATAAATATAGGTACATAGACCTATATCCCTATCATTATATATTAATGCATTTACATATATACATACTTGTATTTATACCTCTATAAATGTCTTTTGCCTCCTAGTTCTTTCCTCTATTTCCTTTTACTTTCCTCTCAGTGATTCCTCTGGGCTACACTGCACTTGATCGAACCCCACCAAGTGTTCTACACCCTCCTCACCATTGATTTTAAATCTCTCTCACTTTTTAAAATTTAAAATCTCTTGTTGTTCCCTTTTTCCTGGGTTTGTTGACTCCCTTCCCCCTTTCCCCCACATCCCTCTTTCCCCTGCTCCCTCCCTCCCCTAACCGTTGTTCCCATGATATTCTCCTCGGGATTGTTTATCTTGTCTATCTTATATAGATAGGCATGAGAAAAAGAAGAAGAAAGAGTTCATAAATGATTACAGGTCTGTCTGCTGACCCTTATGTATGTTTTCCGATCGAGTCTGATGAGGTGCCAAGCCCTGCCCTCTGAGTCTGAGGTCTATTTTGGGGATTCCTCAAGGACTTCATTGCTTTGCTCCCCTTGCTGCTCTGTTGTGCTCCCTTCGTGTTTCACCCCAGAGGTCTTGACAATTCTTGATGTGTTTAAGCCCATTTTTGTAGCCCTGCAACAATCCAACTCCTGACAGTCTTCCTCTTTTTTCAGTGACCCTCCACTTTCCCAAGTCTGATGTCTTGTTGTTGTGCTAATTCCCAAAGCATGTGCATTTTTATTTTAATTTTTTGATCATTTTATTGAGGGCTCTTAGAATTCCTATTACGATCCATATATCAATTGTAGCCGGCACATCTGTACATAGGTTGCCATCATTCTTTTCTAGACAATTACTTTCTATTGAGCCCTTGGTATCAGCTCCTCTTTGTCTTCCCTCCCTCCCCACACCCTTGTGACTCCTTGATAGGATTACAAAGTATTAATATTTTCATGCCTCACACCGACCACTGTCTCCCTTCCCCCCTATGGTTTCCATTGTTCTTCCTCCTGGAGGGGTGTGTATGTGTGTGATTGTGTGTGAATCATGATGATCCATTCCCTTTCCTCCTCTTCCCGCACCCATCCACCCCCACCCCCAGCCCACATCCACCCCTACTCATCTGGTATTGCTATTCCCATTCCTGCTCCTAGGTTGCGTGTGTCATGAGCTCTTCTCTCATCTACACCCGTGTACATGCTCTGGTCTAGTCTGAAGTGAGAGACATCACTGGGGTCATGATAGTGGGGGGCTGAGGAAGCCTCAAGGAATCAGAGGAATATTGTGTGTTTCATTGGTGCTTTACTTGTTGACTCATCCCTTCCCTGTGACCCCTCTGTGGGGGGGATGTCCCATTGTCTACAGATGGGCTTTGGGTCTCTGCTCCGATGCCCCTCATTCTCAACCATATGGTTTTGTTTGTTTGTTTGTTAACAGTCTTATGATGCCAGTTACCTGGTCCTGATGACACCTCATGATTGCACAGGCTGGTGTGCTACTTCCATGTGGGCTTGTCGTTTCTCTGCTGGATGGCCACTTGTTTCACTTTAAGCCTTTAAGACCCCGGACACTATATCTTTTAATAGCCGGGCACCATCCACCTTCTTCACATTTGCTTATGCATCCATTTTGTCTTCAGTGATTGTACCGGGAGGGTGAGCATCTCAGATTGCCAATTTGTTAGAACAAAGTGTTCTTATATTGAGGGAGGGTATGAACAGGGACCCTAGGTCCGTCCACTACCTCAAAGTATTGCCAAATAAATATATTTACATAGGCCAATACCTTATGATGTCTTTTTCCAGGGACTGATCCTGCCTAATAATATGTCTAAGTATGTGAGAACAAGTCTCGCCATCACTTCTAAGGAGCACTCTAGCAGTATTTTCTCTAAAAGAGATGTGTTTGTTCTTCTGCCAGCCCATGGTACTTTCAGTATTCTTTGCCAACACAATTCAAATAAACCTTTCACATTTTAAGAAGTCTTTGGGCAGCAGATTTGCCCAATGCAGTATGTAGTTTCAGCTCTTCACTGCTGCTCCCATGAACATTGCTTTTGGATCCGAGCAAAATGAACTCCTCGACAAATTCAATCTTTTCTCTGTTTATCATGATGTTGTCTATTGGCCCAGTTCTGAGATTTTTGGGTTTTCTTTACATTACATAAAGTTGCAATCCATACTGGAAGCTGTAGTCTTTGATGTTCATCAGCAAGGGCTCCACTTCCTGCGGGGGACCGGGCTTTCAGTCAACAAGGTTGTATCATCTGCCTATCTCAGGTTGGCAAAAAATCTTCCTCCAATCCGGAGGCCACATTATTCTTCATATAGTCCAGTTTCTCATGTTCTTTACTTAGCAGACAGAGTGAGTCAATATGGTAAATGGATACTACACCTCTGATGCACGCTTTACTTGTCCTCTGAACCAATTTGAGCCAATTGACGGAGCTTTCTACTTCCTAATGAGTTACCGTCTCGGACACTCGCAGGGGCAATTCCAGCCTGTTCTACAGGGGCGCAATGCGTCGGCATGGGCCCGATGACAGTGGGTAAAGTGACAGGCACAAGCACCTCCTAACTCCAGGGAGGGCCGCACCTTTTACTACACAGCCCGTTCCAAAGTCCCCGGTGACACACCTCTTTCCAAGCCGAACCAAGCACGCCACAAAGAAAACTGCCCTCTGATTGGACACATTTGGACGGGTGGTTCTAAACTTCATGGGACACGTAGGACAGTGCAGATTGTGATTGGTTACACACTCTCCCGTCTCTTCCAATCATCGTGGGAACGCGGGCGTCCCATGCCCTTGCGAAACTAACGTGCTCTGTGATTGGCTGGCCCTGAAAACGGATTGGGGGGGCCCAGCCTATCGGCGAGGCGACGTGCCGGGCGGCCGGGACGTCGTGAGCCGAGCGGCCGGGGCTGGGCGGCCCGACCCAGGTTCTGTTCTAGTGCGTTCCGCTCCACTCGGGGCTCCAAACCCCGGGACCCGTCCGCGCCATGGCCGCCCCGCCGCAGCTGCAGGCGCTGCTCCTGGCTGTCAACGCACTGCTGCGCAAGCGCCGCTACCACACCGCGCTGGCCATGGTCAAGGGCTTCCGGAACGGAGTCGTGTGAGTGGGGCCGGCCGGGGGCTGAGCGACAGGTTCGAAGCTCGGCGCTGCTGTGCAGTGTGCCCGTGAGCAGCGCTCAGCATCTAGCCATGAGCTCTAGCTTGGGGGCGGGGGGTGAGGGGGGTCTGGGCTCCCTCCCACCTCTGAGCCAAGAGTTTCCCCCCGCCCCCCATGCACCTCCTTCTTCCTACAGCTTTTTCTCCCCGTGCCCTTGCCTCACCGCGACCCCCCTGGACTCATCCCGTTTCTCACTCCAAGGCTAAGCTTCCCCTCCGGCTTGGGGCACTTCGGGGTCGTGGGTCACAGCAGGGACAATGGATGTAAAATAAACTGCAGTATTTGATGAGTTCATTGAGCCCTGGAGAAGGTCCCAGAGGTCAGTTCAGCGGACCGGAGACCCCGGGGCTTTCACTAAGAACCTTCTTGGCATTTGGATGCCTGGCTGGCATTTGCCAGGAGCTCACTTCCTTCACAGCTCAGCAGCTAACATTGAGGATCTGCTGCGTGCCAGGTGCTGGGGAGGCAGCAGAGAAAGGAACCGGCATCCTAGTGGCAGGGTGGTGTGGTGAAGAGGAGGTGGACACTGGGGCCAAAGTGCCTTGCTTTGAATCCTGGTGCCCACACCTCCCTGTGTGGTATTGCACAAATCACTTAGCTGCTCGAAGCCAGTATGTTGGAAATGCTTACTTAGCACGGCTCCTGGTATACAATTGTTAGTTGTTAGCGCACGGTGGTGACCTTCTGTATAGCAGAAAGAGGCTTTGCCCTGTCCTGTGTACCTTTGTCACGAATGGTTTTATGTTCAAGCCACTGTGGTGACTGTTGTGTTAAACACCATAGAACTATTGGCTGTGTTACTGTGGTTTCTACATGGATGGATGTCTGCTTGGCTCATGCAATCTCCCATGTCAGGCTTCTGGGCAAGTGTCACCTCTTGCTGAGGTTAATCTTGGCAGTCCCCACCTCCTACCCGGCTTTAAGTTTTCTTCATAGTCCTTAGTTAACTGGGTTACAGTGCATCTCTCACTCAGCTGTGCTGCTCAGGAAGAGACACTGTGATCTTTTTGGCCCTTTGGTGTAGTCTCACTGCATCGTTGGTCCTCAAACTATTCATGAAAGAACAAGGGTGCGGGCAGATCTTGTCAATGTCCCCATTTTGCACATGAGAAGACAGAGGCTGACGGGTACAACTCATTGCCTGTCATCATATCACTCGGTCAGGGTTGGAGCCAGGATACAGTCCCGGGTGACCCAAGACCAGGCTTTTGGCATCTGTGGGCACCCAGTGTCATGTAGAAGCGGGTTCCCGCTGCATTTTGCCAGGCTGTATTGGACACCCCTTGGTAGGTCCTGGGATTACATCAGTGACCCCTTTGCCAAGAAACCCTCAGGACAAAACAAGAGCAAGCCAGAACCACAGGATTTGCAGTGCCAGTGAGCATTGCCAAAGGCTGACTCTGTACACTTGCCTTTACTCCAAGTCTCCCTGTGCCCTCCAGGGGCCTTCCCAGCCAGGGCAGGTAAGGGGGCCTGGCAGATAAGGGGAGTAGGGGGGGTGCCGTCTAGCTTGTGTCTGGGGTGTAAGGAAGAGCCCTGATCGTCCCAGTCAGCTGGAGGGAGACTGAGGGCGCTGCTAGTTCAGGGGAAAAGATGTGGCTTTGCAGCAGGGCGGGCTGGAGACTGGCTGTCCTTGCCCCTCCAGTAGGCAAGGAGAAGACAGGGTTCACCTGGCCTCTGCAGCAGGGACACTACCTTCAGCTCATTCACCATCTTAAGGGCTCTCATCTCATTTTTGAAAAATCAGATGAGGTGTTACAAAAGGCACAAAAAGCCAGACAATAAAATCTTGCCCACTGCACCATTTGTCGCCCAGTGCCCCTCCCCAGAAGCAGCCCCTCTGCCCAGTCAACTGTGCCTACAAACAAATCCAGTACTTCTAAAAAGACTGGTTACTTTAAAACTATTGTAGGCTCTGGAAGCCCTGCCCAGTTACACAGTTGTTACCTTGCTGCTCATGCTACCAGGCACCTTGTCCCTGTCATCTGATGGATTGCAGACTCTCCCCACTGGCGTGCAAAGCACGGCCTTTTGCTTTTTGCAGCTGCATGGCAGTCCACCAAATGACAGAGGCCTTATGGACCCCATAGCCCCTTGGTGACAGACCAGACACAGGCGTGCTGTTTTCAAGAACTTGGGACCATTCACAAGTATTGTTCAAGTAGATATGGTCTCAAAGAGGCTGCCAGAAATTAAAAATTTGTTGAACTACAGATTTCTTGGTGTTTTACGTGAGTGCTTAACACAGCAAATCAGGCTCCCCTTTAAGAAGTTTTATAGACGTTGTGCCACGGCATTGGTTACAATTCTTACAATGTGGCCCGATGCGGCCACACTCATCATTTCCAGTCTTTGCGTTGGGTTTTCGTGGCTCTAGCCTCTCTGTCCTGCCTTGCCTTCGCATCATTGCTTTTGGGTAAATATTGGCTACTTGGTATCAGATCCTAGGTGGTGTATGGGAGCCCATGACAGCATGTTCGGCAAAGTCGAGGGGTCGTGAAAAAGAGGAAGGCCCTCAAGAGCAGATGGACACAGGGGCTGCAACCAGGGACTGCAGCACAGGGGCCCTGTGAGGACGGTGCTGGGCCAGTCAGTGTGTCCTTCTGTTGTGCGTCAGGGTCACTGTGGGTCGGAGCCGACTCGAAGGCACCTTTCAACAAGAACATCACTCACGGGCCTCTTGATTTTCACAATTGCATGGAAGCCCACCAAATGGCAGACCCACTCTGTGTACTTTCTAGACCCATCCATTAGTTGGCTGAAAGGCAACCTCTGTCAGTAGCTTCCATTCACATTCAAAGGGTCTCTTAGGGCGATACTCTTGGGGGTTCCTGTAGTCTCTATTGATCCAGCAGACCTGGCCTTTTGTATGGATTCCAGTTTATTTATTTAATTTTTTGCAAGTCAAAGTAAACTCCGGTGAAGGAAAGTAAAGCTTTGGCTAGTACGTTCTCACAGACAGGAAGGGGCCATCCCTGGAAAGGTTTTAGACCCCGAGAAGCCCAGGGCTGGGGGTTGTGTGTAGGCGCCATGCAGTTGCTTGAGGTGGTGTGGCCGAGTCGCACTGCCCCCAGGGTTTCCTGTGTCACCCTCACAAGGCCACATCTGCAGGTCTGTCTTCTGTGAAGCTGCTGGCTGAGTGGGAACCACGTGCACAGCCTTCACACCGCCCAAGCGCCTTGGGAATTGGGCTAAGAAACTCACTGCCATGGGGTCAAGGCTGCCTCAGAGTAAACGGTGCACCCCTCCCCCGTGAGTTTCTGAGACCGTCTACTGTTTACAGGAGGAGAAAGCCGTCTCCCACCGAGTTGGTGGTGGTTTCAAACTGCCAACCATGTGGATCGCAGCCCAATGCTTACCCACTACGCCTCCAGGGCTTCTCTGGGTATTGGGTTGGAGGCCATAAAAAAAGAGTAAGAAAGGAAAGGCCCTGAGATTGACTGAGGTAGGAGCTTAACTGCCAGAAACTGCTCTGTGAATGGAGAATCCTTGCAATTGGTGCCCTGGTGGTTTAGTGGTTATGAGTTAGGCTGTGACCCAGAAGGTCAGCAGTTTGAAACCATCAGCCACTCTGGGAGAAAGACGGAGCTTTCTACTCCTGTAAAGTGTTACCGTCTCAAAAACCCACAGGAACAGTTCTATCCTAGCCTATCGAGTCACCAGAGTTAGAATCAACTTACTGGCTGTGAAGGTGAGTTTGGGGTTTATCTAGTCTAGAAGGTCAGGACAGCCTTCTCGGAGGAGCCACCTGAGACTGGAACTACCAAGAAATGGCTCCATAAGGCTGGGAGGAGCAGGACCCTGAGGCAGAACAGAGCAAGGTGTGTCAAACCAGGTGAGGGAGGGCCAATGGGGCTGTAGGGGCAGGAGGTGAGGTGAGGTGGGAGAGGGAAGCTGGGGTGAGGCCATCAGGGCTCTGGTGGCTGTAAGGGAGAACAGCTTTTATTCCCAGAGCTTTGAGAAGATGGCATTTATTCAGGGAGTGTGACCTGCCATGTGTTTTTAAAATGCATGTTTGACCCCAGTGGGAAAGGCAGGGTGGAGCCCACCAATGGACTACACACAGCCAGGTGAGCAGGTATAAAACCCCAAACCAGGTGAACTGCCCTGCAGTTGATGATGATGAGTCAGAGACTGGAACTCTCCATGGGAGGAGAAAGAGGGGAGGCCTCCTCTAGGCATCCCTCCGACTTTTTGGAATGACCTCCAGCCCTCTGAGGTCTAACATCTCCTTTCTTTTTTTTTATGTTCAATCATAGTTTTAAAACTCAAAACACAGAAGTCCTTGGTCAAACGACCATTTTCTGATAATGTACTGACAGGCAATTAAAACAGTTATTCCATTTCAGAGGTTTACTTTTCAGAAGGCTGACCACCTTTGGTAGAGGAGCCATGGCTTGACAGCAACCAGACAGTGCTTAAGCGTTGAATTCTGCCTTTAGCAGAACAGGTAGACTGACAATGTTTCAAATATATTTATCTTAATATTTTGGCTCTCTAAAAAAAGCGAACATTTCTTTACTATGCTTTTCCCACATCCAATCACCATTCTTTACAGTTGGGAGAGGTTTTTTTCTGTTGTTGTTTTTTTAATCATTTTATTAGGAGCTCATACAACTCTTATCACAATCCATACATACATCAATTGTGTAAAGCACATTCGTACATTCATTGCCCTCATCATTCTCAAAACATTTGCTCTCCACTTAAGCCCCCAGCATTAGGTCCTCATTTTTTCCCTCCCCTAACATCCCCTTTCAAAACCTCAAAGCCAAACGCACTGCCTCCAATCCATGCCGACTGCTAGTGGCCGTGTGGGCCGGGGTCGAACTGCCCCTGTGGGTTTTCAAGACGGAACTCTTTTTGCCAAACAGTTTCATTGGCACTTCAGCCGCGTGTCACACAGTTCAATAATCCACATCAAGAAGAGTGTGTGCTTATCACCACGGTCAATTCTAGAACATTTTGTTCTTCCTTGTACTCATTGTTATTGATGCAGTTCTTTAAAATTGTGGCAAGAATATACAGAACAAAACTTTCTCCGGTTCAGCGACTTCTGCACGTATAATTCAGTGCCATTGATAAACCCTTCATGTTGTACAACTGTTATTTATACCTTCTCCACATCATTCCACCGCCATGAACATAAACTCAACGCCCGCTAAGCGAAAACTCTTCCTCCTTCACCCATGGTAACCACTGGTCAAGTTTGTTTGTTTGTTTCTTTCTTTAGTAGTCTTGGTATAGTATTCACATTTTATATTTCCTTCATTAAATTGCTTCTAACAGATACTGTATAGACATCATCACAATCAGTTCTAATGCACCTTCCCTCTGAAAGTGTAACACTTTAGGGGACTAGAAAGTCTCCTCTTTCTCCCTCAGAACAGCTGGTGACTTTGAACTGCCCACCTTGCGATCATCAGCCTAACAGGTCACCACTATGCCACGGGGACTCCTCACACTGGGCCTCAGAGAAGCTCAAGGACAAGCCTGAGGCCACTCTACCATGAAGTGTTGGAGCCGGGATTTGAACCCAGACCTACTGCGAAAGCCAGCCTTCTTTCTCCCCCAAAGTGGTTAGGCCTTGGATTGGGGAGCGGGGCCGAGGGGCTGGAGAGAACTTGCGATCTGATGCCAACTGTCTTCTTCTCTTTCTGCAGCTATGGGGCCAAAATCCGGGCCCCACACGCGCTGGTCATGACCTTCCTCTTCCGGACTGGCAGGTACCATACCTCTGAGCCCCCTTCAAAGTGGGAGAGATTGTGGTCAGTCCTCAGTGTCCAGATGGCTGCAGTGGCTTCCTAGCTAGGTCCAGCTCGTGACCCCCAACACACACACCCCACCACCACCACCACCACCCCTCCTCCTAATATACAACTCTGATCTTAGGATCCCTTCCAGATAGTCCGCTTGCAGACCTGGGAATCGGCCTGCTGGCCTCAGCCACGTCTGTAGCCTCCCCTGGAGCTTGTAGGACCTGTTCCTGAGCCGCCAATCAGCCAAATCCAATTAGCAAAAAACGTTCTCTTTGGCATTTCTGTTTTATTGCTTAATTCTTATTGACTTAGGAGCCCTGGTGGTGTAGTGGCTGCATAGTGGGCTGCTAACCCCACGCCTGACAGCTGGAAACCACCAGACGAGGCTCTGCTTCTATAGAGTTACCATCTCAGAAACCACAGGGGCGGGTCTACCCTCGCCTGCAGGGTCGCTGTGAGTAGGCATGGACTCGATGTCCGTGAGTTTGGTTTGGGGTTGTTTGGCCCCTGATTGAACAAAATAAAAATCAACTCGTTCATTCAGCGACGATTTATTGAGCCATTCGCTGTTCTGACTTAGAGGAGGCACGGTGGTGAACAAAACAGACGACCCTCACCCTCATGGTGCTGGGCGTTTACCGCCTGGCAGGGACCTGGAAGGGAAGCTGTCAATAGGAAAGTAGGTGGTCTGTTAGGTGACATGGGCGACAAGGAAGAAGGGTCGAGAGTGCTGGAGGGGAGAGAGAAGCGTTTTCGGAAAGACTTGACGGACAGGAAGCAAACCAGGGCACTGACTTTCAGTCTGAAGGGAACAGGCTTTGGAGGCTCCAAGGGGTGAGGGGTGAGGAAGGGCAGATGAAGCAGGAGACTAGAGGGTTGATGGGTATTCACTGGGGGGCACTTGGAGACAGGACTCCCTGGGAGCAATCAAAGAGGGGGAGGGTGGCAGGGTCAGCTATGGTGGGGCTGATGTTGGAGCCGTGACAGTCCAAAATGTATACTTCCCCCCACCTAATTCACAATTTAAAAATATCTTAGAGAGAGAGATTTGGAGGAGATAAGAGATTGGCTATGTGGATCCTAGGGACAGATTGCCCCAGACCGAGAACAGCTGGTCACGACCCTGAGATAGGCTCGTGGCTGGCACAGAGGGATTGAGGGGAGGGGAGGAAGGAGAGGGCGCTTGAAGGATGACCCAAGCCAGCCCTCTCCAGTTTGAGATCATGGCAAAGAGTCTGGCTTTTCCTTTAAGGGAAACAGGAAGTGGTTAGAAGGTTTGGAGTAGGGAAGGGCCATTCTCAGTCTGTTTGAGGGTGAGTGCTTTGGGGCTTGGTGAACAATAGAGGGGGGGCACAAGGATAACAACCCCCACCCCCCAACCCACTGCCATCAGCTCAGTTCTGACTCACAGCAAACTCGATAGAGGGTTTCCCAAGGCTGTGGATCTTGACCGGAGCAAACAGCCTCGTCTGGCACCTTTAGAGCAGCTGGTGGGTTTGAACTGCTGACCTTGCCGTTAGCAAGGCTACGTGAGGAGCTGATAATAATCCAGCTGAGCCGTGATGTTGATGCTGGTTGTGGCAGTGGAGGTGAGAAGAAGGGGTCATACTCTGGAAACATTTTGAAGGTGGAAGGAGTGACGACGTTTAAAAATAGGGCTATTTCACCATGGAAACTCAGGACTGCCAAGGCGGGGCCTCTGTTCCCTCAAGTTGATTCCTATCTTCCCCCATCAGGCAGATCCCCCTGAGTTCCATCACTCGGGCTCCCCCTGGCCCTTGGGGCACTGGAGGTTGCCATCCATCCACAGGCTCTCAAAGAGTACATTCTGTCCCCATTTCTACATTCTCGCTGCCCCCCGAGGGAATTTTCAAACGATAAAGTGAACTTCATCACCCTCCCCGACTTAGAACCTCACTCTTCGCAGGTAAAGTCAGCAGGGAACCTGAGGCATGTGTGCCCTGCGGTGCTGCCTCTGCGTCCTCTGCACCCACCGCTGGCCCAGGTGCTCAGGGTGGCCTCTCTCTGTCCCCCTCCACGGCTGCCCCTCCTCAGCATGTCTGCACTTCCTGCTCCCTCTGCTGCGATGCCCTCATTGGCCCAGGTCCATTTTTGGTCCAGGTTCATGTCTGATCCTGGATTTGGGGGATGGTTTGTCTCGTGCAGTTACTTCATGTCACAAATCACTTACCCTGGGTCGCCGTCACATAAAGGCCTCCACGAATCCTGCTGGACTGGCTATTGCAGTCGCTCCCACTTGCTGTTCCCACGGAGGCCAAACGCCAGCCAGCAGGTTGGCAGGTTGCAGCTTCCAGCGGCTCCACGGGAGACAAACCTGCTGATCTGCTCGGGGGGAGCTCACGGCCCAGAATCCCTTCCAGGGCAGGTCTTCCCTGTCACGTGGGCTCAGTGACTCCACGCTGCAGCTGAACACCCCGCCTCTCCTGGGAGCTCACCAGCCCGTAGAGGGCAGCCGGTGGCCATGGGTTTGTTTTCGGCATTGGATTCCCAGACCTGGCGGTGTAGTCAGCCCTTACTTCTTCAGGGGACGACTCGAAACACACTTGTTGAGCACAGACTCTGTGTGGTGGGAACCCCCGTGGCACAGCAGCGGTTCCACGGTGGGCTGCTAATTGCAAAGTCAGCAGTTCGAAGCCAGCCAGCGTGCAGCGGGAAAAAGATGGGGCTTTCTACTCCGGTGCAGGTTGCAGCCTCAGAAACTCACGGGGCGGTTCTACCCTGTCCTCCAGGGTGGCCGCGAGTCAGTGTAGACTCGAGGGCGGGAGTTTCCTTTTGTTTTTGTAACTGTGTGTTGGGCCCTATCGAGGGGAACATCCACTGGGGCCCAGGTAGAGGTGGAGAGAGGGGGTCAGCCGCTAGTTGCCTGCTGGTGGTAAGAGCCTTAACGGAAAAGCAGTGCGTGGCTGGGCTGGGTGGGCATTCTGCCAGGGCACCATGGTCAGGAAAGGCCTCTGAGGAGGTAGCACTGAGCCAAGGCCTGATCAGGTGAGGAGTGAGGCGCAGACCCGAGGGAGGATGGGCAGGGCTGTAGAGGCCTGGGCTGAGAGAGCAAAGGTCCGTGAGCTCCGAGCCTGCAGGGACGGAATGCCTTGGGAGGGCTGGGCCTGCATCACCCCTAATGGGAGCTCCCTGCCTGTGCAGCCTCCGGGACAAGCTGCGGGCCATCCTGCAGGCCACGTATACGCACTCCAGGAACCTGGCCTGCTTCGTGTTGGCCTACAAGGGCCTGTGCGCCCTGCAGTCCCGCGTGCAGGGCGAGACCCACCAGATGCACCCTTTCCTGGCCGCCTTCCTCGGGGGCTTGCTGGTGTTTGGGGAAAACAACAACATCAACAGCCAGGTAAAGGGTCCCCTGGGGGGAGGGTGTAAGGTGTCTGTGGACGGGGCAGGGAGGGGTGAAGAAGCTGAGTGTTGATGCTCTGGGATTCACCTGTCCCTCGGGACCTGGGGACACCCACTTCCTCCCTCGGTGTCTCCTCTGTAAACTGAGCCGCTTGCTTCAAGTTCTCAGTTGCCCGCCGCTCTCCGGGGCCAAGATATTTTTGTGAAACCACACTTCAGTGAGATGAGAGGAAACAAGATTTAATGACCCCCGAGTAAGGTTTCATGAAAGAATTGTCTCTCCCTCTGTGACCTGGCCTCCCCCGCCCCCACCCTTTTGGGTTCTCTCCCCACCCCCACCCCCCGGGGTTAAAATTTCCTTTTTGATGAAACTAAATACAAGGGTATGTTTTGTTTTTGTTTACATTTAATGAAAAGTCAGCAGTCCCCTTGGCCTCCCTCAATTTTCTCAAATATCCTGAAATATTTCAGACTAAAAAGCATTGCGGACTAAACCTCTCCTGTGGCCCTGGTGGGACTTGGTGTGGAAGACGCACTGTGATGCAAGGGTGCCTGCCATGCCCCTCCCGACGCTCACGCCCACTGTCAGGGGGTCTGGTGATCACTGCTCCCTGGGTGGTGTGGAACGAGGCAGAAATTCGGGCAGACATTGTATCAGTCTGCCTGTCTGGGCTTTTCCACCAGTGCGCTCGTCTTTGCTCATGTCCCTGTGGAAGAGTCTCTGGAGGCTTCTTCCTGTCCGTCAGGAGCCTTGGTGGCAGATTGGCTTGCACACTGGCTGCCAGGTGCACGGTCAGCAGCTGGACTGGGCAGCTCCTCAGGAGGAAGGGGAGGTTCCCGTTCCTGCAGCGTTTCAGCCTTGGAAATCCACGGGGGCAGTTCCACCCTGTCTGAGGGGTGGCTGTGCATCAGAATGGAGTTAGTTTGGTTTGGGTTTTTTTCCTGCCAGTCCCTCCTTCTTCTTTTCCTGAAGTTGTGGTGAAAATGTACATCACACAACACACACCTGCTCAGCAGTTTCTACATGCGCATTTCATCGTCACTGATTCCATGTGTCGGTTGTGCCCCATTCTGCCTTTCCACTTCCAAATCCTCCCATGGCCCTGGACATGACTGCAGGGCCCTGAAGCAAAACCTCCCCCTTGTCTTCTCCCTGCCACGCTCAGTAACCACCATTCATCTTTGGCTTCTATTAAAAACCCCAGCTCCCTGCCATCGAGCCCATCCTGACTCACAGAGACCCTCCAGGACAGGGTGGAACTGCCCCATGAGTTTCCGAGACTGTAACTCGTTATGGGAGTAGAAAGCC